CAGCTGTGGAAGCTTTCTACTTGCTGGTGCTGCAAGAGGACAGGCTCCCCCTGTACCACCAGTAAGGCATGATGGGATATTATAGATTTCATAGACATGAGGGCTGGAAGGGACTTTGTGAGATCATTTGGTCCAGCCCCCTGCTCAAAGGGCAGAAAGTCAGCTGGGGTCAGATAATCCCAGCAAGATAATCATCCAAATGCAACTTGAACGTGTCCAGAGTAGGTGCTTGCACCACTTCTGTGGTGGGAGTCTATTCTAACTCAGGATACTCAGACAGTAAAGAAGTTCTTCCTTATGTCCAGTCTAAAATGGCCTTCCAGTAATTTGTGACCATTGGACCTTGTTTTCCCTAGGGGAGTCCTGGTGAACAGACATTCTCCCAGATCCTGATGTACACCCCTGATATACTTACAGGCTGCCACCAAGTCCCCCCAAGCCTATGCTTTTCCAAGCTGAAGATTCCCGTGCCTCTCAGCCTCTCCTCATAAGGCCTGCTCGCGTGACCTCTGATCATGTGCGTGGCTCTCCTTTGGACTCTCTCGAGCTTCTCCACATCTTTTTTAAAGCATGGAGCCCAGAATTGGATGCAGTACTCCAGCTGCAGCCTCACTAAGGCTGAATAAAGCAGGAGAATGACATTTTGGGTCTTGTTTGAGATGCATCAGTAGATGCAAGCCAGGGTTTTATTTGCTTTGCTGGCTGCAGCATTGCATTGGTGACTCATATTCATCTGGTGGTCAATCATGACCCACAAGTCTCTTTTGGACATAGTGCTAGTGAGTGAAGCTCTGCTGAGCCTATAGGTATGATGTGGGTATTTTCTCCCAAGGTGGAGCACCTTGAATTTCTCTATGTTGAGGGTCATCAGGTTTATATCTGCCCACCTTGCGAGGCTATCCAGGTCAGCCTGAATCCCCAGCTTATCCTCCGGTGTAACCGCGCATCCCCATAGTTTGGTGTTATCTGCAAACTTAGCCAGTTTCTTTTTGACACCCAAATCCAGATCATTAATGAATATATTAAAGAGTACTGGTCCAAGTACTGAACGCTGAGGGATGCCACTGGTCACCATATGCCACGCTGATTCAGTTCCATCAGCTATCACTCTCTGGGTCCGACCATGCCATTGGACCATAAGGTTTTTGAGGCCACAGTTCCTCAGTTTTGCCATGACGACATCATGGGAGACCAAGTCAAAGGCTTTTTTTGAAGTCCAAGTCAATGACATCAAATTTTCCCCTCCCCACCATCCAAGTGACACATCACCTGGTTGTAGAAGGCAATGAGGTTGATCAGGCATGACCTACCTGTAACAAAGCCATGTTGGCTGTTTCTCAGAATGGCGCCATCTGTCAGTCTGTTGTTGATGGATTCTTTGATAATTTTTTCCAAGATTTTTCCAAGAATTGAGGTCAAACTGACTGGTCTGTAGTTCCCTGCATCCTCCTTCTTTCCTTTCTTGAAGATAGGCACCACGTTGGCCCTCTTCCAGTCTTCGAAAACCTCTCCTGATTGCAATGAGTTCTCAAATATCCATGCCAGTGGTCAATCTATGATGTCAGCCAACTCTTTTAGCACTCTTGGGTGCATTCCATCAGGGCCCGCTGACTTATGGATGTCAAACCTCTCAAGGTGCTCCCTCACAAGGTCTTCACCAAATGTAGGTGTCTGGTCACCCATGCCCTCGTAGCCCTGTGTCCTGTCAGGCAGGGTGATCCCCTTGGGCTGGTGGAAAACCAACGAAAAGTAATCATTGAGGAGATTAGTTTCTTCCTGGGTGTCAGTTGTCAGCTGCCACATTTGATTAAGCAAAGGTCCAAAGTTGCCCTTACTTTTCTTTTGATTTCCTACGTATCTGTAAAAGGACTTTTTATTGTCTGTGGCAGGAGGCTGTCCTGGGGCCAGGTCTCATGTTGGCCTGCCCACCTATCTAGGGCAGTCTGCCCTGTCATTCCTGCCATGACTTGATGGTCTAGTTGATAATATAAGCAGGTGGTTATATTCACTGCCCCGATGCCAGGGGATGCTATCCACAGCTCCAAACCTTCCCTACACCATGGCCCATGCCTCACAGATGGCATCCAGAATATTATTATTGCTTTCCAGCTTCAGGCCAGGCCAGACTCAGTCCATTGTTGGGCCTCTTCCACACTCACACTCACTCCGCCCCCCCTCACAGGGGCCTCTTGCACTCCGCACCCCCACCGGGCTACATACAACCTGCCTTGCTCCCTTGACTGACCTCTTGGCCATCAGATTTTCCTATTAACTTGCTCGTGCTCCCCTACTCTAAGTGGCATCACCTTGTACTGAGCACTGGTGCAGCCTAGCCCTTCACTGGGCAACTTGCTCCTGCTGTCACTCATGGGGTTGCCCCATGTACTGCCCTTCAAACCACCCTTGCAGGTGTATTCAATACAGTCCTGGTGCAGCCCTTTAGGCCACCTTCAGCAGCCCTACTCTGCACCCCACATGCTCAATCCTTCAGGTGTTTCTCATTGCATCCTACTCTGAGCGGGCCCCCATTTTACCACTTCCCCCTCTGAGGCCTCTTGGCTCTCACACCCCTGCAGGTCTCTGGTGCCTCTCTAGCCATGCCTGGCACTTCTCCCTCTCTTCCCAACTCATAAATATCCACTGGTGTGTGGCGCCTGGGGTTAAGGTGCACCTACCTGCCTTTCACCAGGGAGGTAACTGGCTTGGCATTTCTTGGGGGCTGTCCCACCACAAACAGCCCTGTTAGACCACCATACCCCAGCAAGATGTAGTTTCAGGTCATGCTGAGGACCAGGAGCCTCCAACCATCCCTATAGTTCCTGCCCATACCTCCAAGTTGTTCCAGAAATGGTAACACTGCTGCATCTGCCTGTTTTGCCTAAGTTTGAAAATGGCTGCCTTAATCAAGCCCTTAAAGTGACAAGCACCCAAAGGTGCACTGCCACCTTGTCCTTGATTCTCATAGCCAGCCTGAGCTTGGTATCAGCCTTAGCTTTTATGGTCTAGTCCCTACAGGTGAGGTCCAGTGATGTATAATCCTCCTTAGAGGTATTTCCCATCTTCCAACCCTTATTTCATAGATTTCATAGACATTAGGGCTGGAAGGGACCTCAGAAGATCATCGAGTCCGGCGCCCCACCCAAAGGGCAGGAAGTCAGCTGGGGTCATAGGATCCCAGCAAGATAAGCATCCAATTTGCCCTTGAAGGTGTTCAATGTAGGTGCTTGAACCACCTCTGATGGCAGGCTATTCCAGACCTTGGGGGCTTGGACAGTAAATAAATTCTTCCTTATGTCCAGCGTGAAGCGGTCTTGTAGTAGTTTATGATCGTTCAACCTCGTCATCCCTTGGGGCGCTGTGGTGAACAAACGTTCCCCCAGATACTGGTGGTCACCCCTGATAAACTTATAGGTGGCCATCAGATCAAGGCTTTTCCTTTATGATTGAGGAGGTCCATAAGTTCCCTATTCAGCCAAGGGGATTTTCCAGCCCTTTTACTACCTTTCCTGCAGGCCGAAATGGACTTCCCTTCTGCTTTTAGAATTGCATCCTTAAGGAGCGACCATTCATCATGGACTCCCTTCCCTGTCCAACCATGATCTTTCGGGGCCTTGACAACCACTTTCCTGAGCTTGTGAAAGTCAGCTTTCCTAAAGTGGAGGATTTCTTCATTACTGACTGATTTTCCACCTTTTGATGGATAAGGAAGGTGATCAACTCATGATCACTGTCACTGAGCTTCCCTTCAATCCTCAGGTCACTCACTAGATCATGCCCTTTTGCCATTACCAGATCTAGCAGCACCACACCTCATGTCAGCCCATGGACTTCTTGAGTCAGATAGAGCTCATCAATGCAGGTGAGGAAGCTATGTGACTGATCAGATTTGGCTGAATGCTTCTCCCATGAAATGTCAGGGTGATTGAAATCACCCATGGCAACCATGCACTGAGACTGTGCAGCCTCTGTTAGTTTCCTAGAGAATTTATGGTCAAGCTCTCCCTCCTGGTTAGGAGGTCTGTAATAGACTCCTACAGTAATATCCCCTTCACCACATTTTCCCATATTCTAACCCAGAGGGTTTCAAGTTGCCCTGCTTGGGTGCCACCTATGTCAGCTAGTAGGGAAGTGTACTGCTCCTTGACATCTGATACTGATCCCACAGTCCAATACTTGATTCCATAGTCTTAATACTTGATTCCACAGTCATGCCTTTTGCCATGCACAGGTACATTGCAGGAAGTGTAATTGTGGGGATCATGCAACAGATTCCATGGTGCTTCTTTCTCCACATCTGCCAGGAGCCTTGGGTTCATAAGTATCTTGGGCTTATCTACACTATGGAGTCTCTGCAGCTACACCTATTGAATAGCTATGTCATCAGAATCCTCTATTGTAGACATGGGATATGCTGGCAGATTTTCTTTCCCAGCTGGTGTAGCTACTCCACTTTCCCAAACAAGAAAGACTAAGATGACAGAAGCCACATTCTTCTAGCATAATTTCATTTAAAAAGCTGCATAAGAGCATGGGGATTGCACTCCAAATTTGATTCATAGTATAAAGGAAGAATGCTGGAATAGATACCAGCATGTTGGTTGCAGGTTCTTGTTAAAAAAGAAAAATACCATCTACCTAATCTCACTGTGTAGTTAATAACTTAAGACACTGCAGGGCTAGGGACAGAAGTTACACTTAACCCGGTATAAATTATCAGAATCTGGTTTAAATCTGTAACAGAACAGAAGCTCAGTGCACATAAACCAGTTTTAAAATGGCTGAACCTGGTTTAAGATAAACCTGGTTGAATATAATATCAGACTTAACTGATTTGGGTCAAACCAGTTTATGAAACTTCTGTCCCAGACCCCTTCCTGGTTCAAGTTAAATCACAGTCCCCCAGCATTCTAGCATGCTTTACAGCCCTGGGCTGGGCTGGGCTGGGCTGGGCTGGGCTGTGCTGTGCTGTCTGCTCCACCCCTTCCTGGCCAGAGTGGAGAGTTGCTATTTTTTATATCAAAGAATTTGGCCTGATAAGCTCATTTTACCTAGAAATGTCCAGCAATGTTTTCAGCATCACTGAAATGTGTCACAAGGTGACAGAAATTTAGTGATTTTTCTCCTTTCTGGAAGTTGTGCAAACACTAAATTTCATTTGGTTGGGGGCCAAAAATAATATGACAGCAAAAGGTATCTTAGGGTTTCCTAGCAAAGCCACAAATCAGCCAAAATTTGAGGGGCTCTCATTCTTACAAGCACTGGGCAAATGGTAGGACAAATGGTAGGACATACCAGAGAGCTTTTTGATAAGAGCATAAAAGAAAATGCTGAAGTATAATGGAAGCCAGAAAAAGGTATTTACCACTCATATTACAAAGTTTACCACAGGGGGAAGTATCATATCTCAGAGAGCTCTATGTATGAGTATTGGCAAATGCCGAACTTCAAAAAAGGCTTTCTTTTCTATGTTGGCAACATGCCCTTGCCCAGGAAGTACCATAAAGCTATAAAAGAGTCTGCTGTTATGAGATTTTCAGCATGATATCTGGTTTAAGAGTGTAAGCTTTCAGATAAGAATGCAAAGCATTTGGGACTTATCCAAACCAAACCTCGGTATCACAAAAGGGCATAGAAAATTAGCCTAAGGAATGAGGCACTCAAATGAAACAAAGAATGGGCAGGTATGGGGACACTCACTTGAAAACAAAAAATTCTCTAAGTCAAAGCTAGTAACATGCAGTAAATTCTACATTTTGTCCTTCTTTCGGTGAGGAGGCAAAATCCCCTTGTCATATTAAAGGATTTAGTTATCTCCCTTGACCTCAAGAATGCTGCAACTCATCCCCCAAAAAACACACACACACATACACACACACACACACACACTCCCTTCATACTTTCCTCAATGGTACTGCCAGTCTACCAGACAACAGATTTCCCCCAAGTGTCTGGCTTGGCACAAAACAGAGCACTCAGTGTAATATTGTTTTAATTATTCATGCCTGATTTCAGACTATCATGGTGAAATACCTCTCTGACAAACTTCAATACCAAATATATGGCATAATTGTTTCCCAGTCTTATAGGAGTGTGATTTCAGAACAGCTTTGATGAATCGCTAAGTTACATGGCCACTGCTCTGACTTTCAAGTGCCTAATCTGCTTGCATTATAAACAGGACATGCCTCTGTTGATAAGGTTGTAACTGTTAGTGCTTCTGGAACATGAGAAACAATGATGGCCTCCTTCTGCCTTAGGGCTTCCTGATAATGCAAAATAAGGCAAGAAAGCTGGCTTAGATTCCAGCTCTTCCCAGTTTTTCCCCTCGTGCTTCTCCCAGAAATAGGTGCATGGGACAGTTCCATCCATTTCCAGAAGACAGCATGTGGGGTTGAACTGGGAAGGGCTGTAGCTAGGGTTATCATAGGACCCTAATCCCAGGAGGAGCATGCACTCATACCAAAACCCTTCCTGGTCTGGCTGTGCACAAGGACTAGGAACAAAAGTTACACATAAACAGGTTTAAGTGGTCAGGAACTGGTTTAAACCTATAACAAAACAGATGTACAGTGCACATAAACCAGTTTCAAAATGGCTGATTAAATAAACCTGGTTCAATGTAGTATCAGACTTAGCTGATTTAAGTCAAGCAGATTTATGAAACTTCTGTCCAAGACCTATGCCTGGTTCAACTTAAATCACAATCCCCCAGCATCCTGATATTTTGTAGCCCTGGGCTGAGATGGACTGTCTGCTCCAGAGAGCAGGGCTGGCCCCACCCCTCTGCTCCCCAGCTACAGCAGTGAGGGCTGGTACACTAGCCTCACTCGCTGGTTCACTGCCCCCCTCCCAGGCAACTCCTACTGGAGTCTGGAGCTGTCCTGTCCTACACTGCTTACTTAGTGCTGGATGAGACTGTGGGCTACAAATCCCAGAGTCACCTGGAAGCAGGAAGAGGAAGTGATGAGCAACCCTGCAGAGTCCTGCTGCTGTGAGTATGGACTCCAAATCCCATACACCTTAGGGGCTGCAGGAAGAGGAATCAAACACAGAGCCCTTGATGGCTGTGTGCCAGAGACCTGTGCTCTAGTGCCCCCAGCTTCTGGCTTGAGCCACTGCAGGCATGCAGCTGTGTTACCTGAATCAAAAGTGAATGTCTGTACATTGCTTATTGGCTTAATCTTTGCAGCCCAGAATAACTTGCAAAGACAATCAATTTAGCCTTGGGCTTTTTGACTGTCTGTATTTAGCCAAGTCGTGGGACAGCTTTACTTGGTGGTGGCACCTGGTTGAGAACCACAAAGCTAAATTGAACACAACACTGGTTCTCAATCAAAGATGCTGCTACAGGTGAAACAGTTGTAGAGGGGTGTTCTGACTCTAAAAAGGTAGAAAACCACTAGCCTAGAGTGAGAGTAGCTACGCTACAAAACCATATTTGAGCTGCTGTGTCTGCACTGGCATGGAATTCACCAACCTGTGACAGCAAGATTGTTGGAGGCACATCCCATGTTTCTTTGTTCTGCAGTAAGGTAACCCACTCTCATGGTAGATCTACATAGTTTCTGAAGTGCTTCTAGGCAGGGACATTCTCAAACATACCTTACCTGCCCATTCCCACTTGGATGTACCAAACCTGTGTAGCAGTGAAGTTACTCCAGGGATATCTACAGCATGATTGATAATAGATATAGGGAGAAGACCCAGGAGTGGCTTCAGTGCTGCATTTCTGGGTCTGGTGTGGGCTAGTGCATGTGGGTGAGCAGCATGCCCATGAACATCCCTTCCCATGGAAATCAGATAGACATACCCATGTGGCTGCAGTCAGGAGCTGATGAGTTGTGCTAACCACACTGTAGACATTATACCCTGACAGGTGAACCAACCCAAGTTAAAAGCACCATTATGCCAGGCACAGTGGGGTTTTGCATATGGATACTTTCAAATTATGGGCTACAAATTACATTTAACTCTGCAGTGAAGAAAAGTCCAAAGAGAGATGGCTAATGGCTCCATGGCAATAGTACTCACCATAGATTCATAGACTGTAAGGCTGGAAGGGACCTCAGAAGATCATCGGGTCCAGCCCCCTGCACCAGACAGGAAAGACAGCTGGGGGTCAGGTGACCCCAGCAAGGTGACTGTCCAGTCTCCTCCTGAAGATTTCCAGGGTAGGTGATTGCACCACCTCTGAAGGGAGCTTATTCCACAGTCTGGACACTCTAACTGTGAAGAAGTTTTTCCTAATGTTGAGCCTGAGGCTGTGGGAAGGGCAGAGGCTAAGGAGTCAGGAGGGGGAGCAAAGGAGGGAGGAAGGGAGAGCCTGAGGTTTTGGGGGAGGCAGACAGAAAGCAGCCAGGGTAGGCACAAGCAGGTGGAAGTTGATTGACCTCCCACAATATCTGCCCTTGCACTTGTTGCAAGGTTGTCTTTAATTCAAGTTCATCTTACATTTGGGTAAATACAGTAAGTAAAAGTTTTCTAATTATTGTAATTTTACATCCAGAACTTGCCGATCTGTGCTGATATTACATAGAGAGGGGAGTGATGGAAGAAACATTGTGAAATTTGGATAAGATCCAAAATGCCACATGATGAAGAGAATGACCACAACATCTTGTATTTCCATAGCACCTTTAAGATGCAAATTTGAAATCACCATTCAAAAGTTTTGGAGGCAGCACCCAGCTTGATCCAGCTGTTCCCTGAGCCTTCCTGCTGGAAACCCACCAGCTGGCAGCACCAGGCCCAATCCAACTTTTTCCCAACCCTGAGCTAGAGCAGCACCCGGCCCACTAGCAGCCCACCCAGGTAGCCCTGGGGGGTGCAGCTGCCACAGAGGGAAGAACTGGGGCCACTACAGCTCAGGGCCACTTCTCCCACTGGCAGCTTGCCCCCTGACCATGGGAGAGGCAGGCAGGCTCCACCAAAAAAATAAATAGGATCAGGCCC